AAATATTTTGCATAAACGAGCGATTAATTTATGTACTATTAATTGATCCTTTGTGTACACGCTTCCAGCGCGCGCGTAAGCGATGCATATTTATCGTCCGCTTTATTATTCCGTCTCGAAGGAAGGGAAACGACCGTCGTCGCTTTTATCTGCTGCATCAAAAGGACCGTGTCGTCGGCGAATGCGGAGAGTGCGGATTATTCTTCGCGTTCCGTTCTGCTACTTCCTTTTTATTTATATTCCACCGCACAAGCGACACCGTCGTCGCGGGTCGAAATTTTGATGCTACTTTAACGCTGTTAGGGATAGTTTGCGTCCATTTTGATGGCCTGTAAACTAATAAAAACCTACTTTGACGTCACTGACACTTGCTAACTTCTCTCTTGAACACTTTTGATCCTACAGATTTAATTTTGATGCTACCTTGAACAACCCATTTTCATGCTAAAACGGCGAAAATGGATATTTAAGACATCGTCAGGATCAAAGTAGGAATAAATTATATTACCAGAATTGAAATTGAACCTGTTTTACTACCTTAGCTTCTGCTGTGTTGCAGAATTAAAGATTTAACACAGGGCCAAAGTTTCGATTCAGGTAAGCGCCTCGTGAATCACGAAATTCCCATACGAATTTATTCGTGCGTTAATCTCGCAACGCAAACGACAGCCGGCGACGTCTTCGGGAGGAATTCACCACAGTGCGAAAAAGAAAAGAAAAAGAGAGAGTGAGGGAGAAGGAAGAAGAGGGAAAATAGATGTGGTCGAATCATCGATCGAGTTCGAAAAACGGCTTGTTAGTCGAGTTGAACCACCTCGTAAGAAGCCATCCCCAGGAGTTTCCCGGTGTCAGACGCTTCCTGTGTTCCTTTCTGCCTCTATATATCTATCGATCCTCGGCCTGCACCCTCCTCTTTGTGCCACCAACTGTTATCCCTCTCGTTCTCGTTCTCCCTCTCGCCACCCACGATCTCTCTCTCTCTCTCTTTCTCTCTCTCTTCATCGCGCCGTCACTTCCGCTCTCTTTCTCTCTTTCGCTCGCTCGCTCACCGTCGATGTACGGGGTGGTTCTCGCTCAACTTGCTCCTTACGTATCCCTCGTTAACTCCGATTATTTCACGTAAAACGTGTAACGCAATAAAAATCATCGAATCCAGCGCGATTTTGCCGAGATACACGGGCGAGAGAGAGAGAGAGAGAGAGAGACGCGTGACACGCCTCTTAACGGAAAACAACAACAATGACGGCGACGACGAGATGATTTCGTCGCGGGAACAACAGAACGAGACCCGCGGTTATATCATTACGGTTTCGTTAAACTGGAACAACTCGATTTCACGCGAGTGTCAGATGCAAACGCGACAGATGCTCGAGATAAGTGGGAGAGATCACCGTGTATATCATGTATTCGTAACCCTCTGCTTTTCTCTTTCCCTCTCTCCCTCTCTCTCTTCCCCCGTCCCTCTACGGATCGTCTTCGTGGTGGCTCACGCTACGGTGCGGGTAATTTTCCTTGCATATTTATACGCGCGCCTCATCGAGAAAAGTGCCTCCGTTAAACGCCTCTCTCCTCCACTCTCTCCGAAAGAATTAACTACGTTTAATAGATTCGTACCAGGAACCCCTCTCTATCGCGGGTCCTCCCTCGGACGATTCGTTTGCACGATCAAGATGGAGTTATCTCCGGTCGTACGAAGCGATTTAACCCTAATCGCTCTCTGATACTCACCGCATTCCCGCGCTCGTTTCGCCGTGCGCGTTTCCTATAACTGAGGAGGAGGGCCCAGCGAGAATTAATACGCGCCACGATACGGGAGAGGGGGAGGGATTAATAACGCAACAAAATACCGATGCAGAAGGAGGTACATTCGCGCGTATCGTCGCATTCCCGTTCGGAGAACGGAAAGGTGGCCGGTCCGCTAATAACGAAATCGATAAATGATTAATCGGCGTGGTAACGACCCCGGCTGTCTGGCTTATCCCGTCTGATTCCGCGCGTCTGAATAATACATGGTGTCTGCGTAGTACCGGATACTCCCCGCAAACTTTTGATCCTATTACCAGGGGATGTCCCGTGGCCGTCGTCATACTTTTCGTCGAGTGCTTTTAACGTTATATTAAACGAATTCTCGGGCGCTCACATACACGCCCCCCCCTCCGGTGTAACGTCATTACGTAAGATCCCGCACGTTCAGAGCGTCCCTCAAACCAGATCTCGAAGTTACGCCCGATCCGTGGAATACGACTGGTAACGAGGGTAACGACGGAACGTCTCGTATAATTACGCGACGAACGCGTTTTTCAACGACGAGAATTACGTCGCTATGATTTTCCCTAATAACGCTCTCCGGTGACGCTTTCTCGACGAGGGGAGAGAGAGGACAGTAGTTCGGATCCGCGACTGAGTCGACGACCTGTCGCGGTCTCCCGCAGTCAGTCGGCCGAAGCGCCAGCACGCGTTGTAACAACGATGACAGCGGAACACCGGCGGACGGCTCCTGTCGCCGACGGCGGAATGACGTTTTATCGTTCGGCGAACGGAAACGACTCTCTCTCTCTCTCTCTCTTCGCGGGAAGCGACGAATGTTAGCCCGGCTATGTTATTATTTTCCTGCTGCGCCAGCCAAGTGCGCGGAAACCGTTCAGCGGCTTCAACACCGGCGACTTATTATCGGGCTCAATTAAGCGCACGCGCCGTCCGTAATAAAACAAAAAAGCGGGGCGCGCGAGACCGCCCCCCTCCCCCCGACTGCGGTGATTACGCGCGCGATTCATTATAAAACGCGGCTACGTTTGGCGTCCGGCCAGAAACACAATGGAATCGTCTCCTCTCTCTCTCTCTTCCTTTTTCTTCCTCTATCCATCCTTCTCCTCTACGCGGAAAAGGATAAAGCGGAAACGACGGATCGTCCTCTCGTGTCCGCTCGAGCAAATTAAGATTAACGCCGACAGCGAAGACAGGAAAAAACGCCAACACCCTCGCAAACTCGTGTCCGCATGACGGAGAACCCGCTCAGCCGCGAAAGCCCGGACGCGAACCGCCGGGCGAGCGTCTTTGTACCGACTGCGCGCCCGCCACCCCCGCTCGCTCGCGCATTGTGTCGCACACCACCCCGAAGGCAGACGCGGCTCTTTCCGCCACGTTTTCCAGAGCCGGGTCTGACACCCTCCTCGGTACGTACGGCACCGCTTCTCGGTGCGCGCGAGAGGGCGGAAGGGGTTCGCAGCGGGCGTGGGGTTGCGCGCGCAGCGGCAACCCCTCTCTCTGTGTCCGGCACGTAATCGAACTGGGAGCGCCGTGATCGTCGTCGTCGTCGTCGTCGTCGCCGCCGCCGTCGTCGTCGTCGTCAGTTCCACAAGACGGACGCTAAAATCCCTCGTCGAAGCCGGGATACGCGATCGCGCGAACCAGTCCGATCGAGGACGTCGGTGCGAGCTCGCGACGACAAGAGAAGCGTGTCCATCGTCGTCGATCCCCCCGGCACGACCGTCAGAAAGCGGGGATGAAGAGCTCGCGGCGATTCGCAAGTCCGATCGCGTTGTTCACTTCTGGATTATAGCGACACAGGTATACACAGAGAGAGAGAGAGAGAGAGAGAGAGACACACACACACACACAGCGAGTGTGCCGGAGCGCGAGTGTGCGTGCGACGGAACAGAGTGCGACGGAGCGCGGCCTCCTCGAGCACGGCAAGCTCGGCCGACCCGAGTTACCCAAGAGGAGCCGTCGAGGAGAGGAGGCTGTCGACGAGCGCTTCGCGGCGACGAGCGGGGCGGGTATCGCCATAGCGAGGGAGAACGGTGATTCGGTGGCGAGCGGCTAGACGGAGCGGCGTAGTGCAGCGATCTCGGGAGTCCTCGTCGGGGGTACTGCCTGACGCAGGCTACCTCCTCGAATCACAATGGCGCCCGTCTTCGGCCCGGAATCGCCGGCCGCGATCGGCGCCTGATGCAGGCGTCGTCGTCCTCGCGCGTCGACGTGTCCGTCGCGTCCACGTCGGCCACGATGCCCCGCGTGTTCCAATGAACGGACCGCCGTCTGGTGGCCTCCGTCACCGTCGTCGTCGTCGTCGTCGTCGTCGTCGTCGTCCTTCCACGGAGGACCTCCGGCAGCTCGGACGGTGCGCGATCGAGCGAGCAACATGAAAAGGATCCGCAAGAGGCACCCGCCGAGGATCAAGGAACGATCGTGGCAGTGACAGTGCGCGCCGAGGATAGTGATAGATGCGTGTGTAAGTGCGTGCTCTTGGTCGCCCAGCCCCCGGAGAGGTTCTCTCTCTCTCTCTCTCTGCCTCCCCCTCCCCCTCTGCTCTCGTCGGCCTCCTCCCGATGTCCACACCTTCCGCTTGGACAGAGGGATGCTTAGCGATGGCTGATGCACCATGCGACTACGCGCGATTCACGACCGCCTCGCCCCGATGAATTCGCGCGGAAGGCCACGGCGAAGGGCCCGACGACTCCTCCGGTAAATAGTTCGCGCGCGCGCCCCCACGAGCCGATCGTGAGCGGCGATTCGCAAGGACGCACGTGATGCTCACCGGGGTACGGGCGAACGGCTGCTACGGTTGAAGCGACGATCGAGACGCACGGCGGACGTACCGCGCCGATCGTCCCCGTGTTGTCGCCGCCCGAATGAAACTAAGGGGATACGCGACGACGCTTGGAAATCCCGCGGGCAGAAAACAGAGCGACGCGACTCCCTAAGTTTTCTCTTCTCGTTACCTCTCTTCCTCCCCCTCTCTCTCTCTCTCTCTCTCATTCCCGTGGAACGCTTGACACTCGGAGTCTCGTTCATCGGGAGGGTAGGCACGCGAGCCGTGCCAAAGGATGCCGCGTAGAGACGCGGTGGGACGCGACAGACCGCCGGCATGAGGTCTCGTGAACGAGTGATAACGACGAACAAGTGAGTGAAGACCGGGGGAGAGAGCAGGTGGTGCAGGTGGAGGAGGAAGAAGCGGCGGAGGAGGAAGAGGAGGAGCGGGAGGTGGGATAGTGTGAAGGTTTCGGCATAAGTGGTTTTTGCAGGAAAACCTTTCAACCTGGCGGACCAAGAGGAAAGCGGCGATACGGCGGCGATGCAGGGCAAGGAGAGCCCCGTCGGGTCCAACACCCAGGAGACCCATCAGTACGTCGGCCCGTATCGGCTGGAGAAGACCCTGGGGAAGGGCCAGACAGGTGGGTGTGCACCGTCGTGATCCCCCC